CACTCCATGAGGAAACTCGGCTTAGATATGCTTTTTCTTCAGGAAACTCACATAAATACAAATTCGACCGAAACGATTGAGGGCTTTTGTTTCATATACTCCACAAGCATAACGGATGCTCAAAGATTGAGGGCTTTTGTTTCATATACTCCACAAGCATAACGGATGCTCAAAGAAAACAAGCCGATAAAACCAGAGCAGAAAATACGGCTAGAGTCTAGAGGCCGCCAAAGAAATGGAGTCCGACATGCACCCCCAATTGACATTGAACATGGAGGCACAGGTGTTATTCTTTCCCCAAAAGCAAAAGCTACACTCTTAGACTTTGAGCAAATTGATGGTCGAATCATGACCGTAACTTTGGATATGATTGGGCCGCCTCTCCATTTCCTAAATGCGTATGCGCCACAAAGCGGGACTGAGACCAGATTAAAGAATGATTTCTATGAAACGCTGGAACGTAATTTGGCCAGTTTCCCCAATAGTCATCCAACCTTCATCGTAGGAGACTTCAATGCAAGATTGCATGCCCGTTTTGAGAATGAAACTTGTTGTGTTGGACAGCACATTTTTGGACGTGGCTTGAACTTCTTGATCCACAATTCTAGCCCAGCTTCATTTGAAAACGGAAGCCTACTTGTAGAATTTTGATTGGCACATGGCCTCCACATTGGTAACGCATTATTTGAAAAACCTGTGTCAAAGCAGGTGACCTTCAGAGAAGCTGATTTGCTCAGATTGATTTTGTTTTGGCTCCTGACAGGTGGAAAAGCACTTTGGTTGACGTGTCCTCATCCCCTGAAATCTTCACTGAATCAGATCACTTCATTGTTTGTGCGAAATGCCGCGTCAGAAGGAAGCAGCTTAGTTCTACCATGGTCAAAAAAATTACATATTCCCCCACTCCACTGGAAAAAACCAGTTATAACCAGTTCATTTCGGAAACAATGCGCCAGGCGAGTGATGCGGAAACCAAAATCTTCCTTGATTCTATCCGTAAAGCGCAACATGTAAATTTGAGACCAACACCACTGGGCAGACGTCGTTCGTATATTTCTGAACGTACATGGGACCTGCTCTTGCAAAGGCAAAGAGAACATGATAATGGCAATCATGATATCTTATCTGAACTCACTAAGAAGATCAAAAACGAGGCTAAGAAAGATAAAAAACATATCCTCGAACAGTTGAAAGATACCTTACCATCTAGAATCTAGAGAGCAATGGGCTGGAATAAAAATCATCAAAAAAAAACGGACACCCAATTTCACCAAAATAAAAGATAAAGATGGAAATAGGGTCGGCCCCCGCGGGCGTGCAGGCGCAGTTGCTGATTATTTGCATGCTGTGCAGTGGAAAGCTGACATCCTACCGCCGTCAATCACTAAGAGATCAATCATCCAAAGTGACTTGCCCTATAATCTTGATCAAATAGCTATGACAGAACTTGATGCAGCATTACGAAAAGCGAAGAGCCACAAAGCTGCCGGCCTGATGGCATTCAGGCTGAATTATCACGAAAGCTAGCGTCAGCTAGCTGGAGTCTTCTTGCTTTAGCAAGTATTGGGGGGGGCTGCTCAAGGACATCACGTGATTTTCACCGCGAAAGGGCCCCCCCCTGCCCCCTCCCCCATATATATCATTGTTATATATCATATATCAATATATCATTGTTGCATCCTCGCTGGGACGAACAATGCCGCGACACGATGATGACAGTCCCTCTGCAACTCACCTCTTCCCTTCCTTCTTTCTCCTACCCCGCTAGCTTTCGTCATCCACCCCCGGCCTCAAGTTTAAATATTTGGATGTACAAAACAGAGCAGCTCTCCTTTCCGTATTGAATGGGTGGTGGTCCAAGGAAGCTATCCCATCAGATTTCTTAAATGCCCAAGTTGTTTCTATTTTTAAAAAGGAGACACTGAAAACATTGCTAGTTATAGACCCATCTCTCTGTTGAATGCTATTTATAAGGTCTTTGCTGAAATCATTCGACAGGCTTTCTGACGTCATTGACCCATACATTTGTAATACCCAATTCGGGTTCAGGAAAAACCGTTCCACCACGGACGCGCTATTCATAGCCAGACGGTTACAAGATTTGGGAGAACGATCTGGGGACAATATCGTGATATGTATGTTAGACTGGAAGCAAGCCTTCGACCGGATCTCACACCCCCGGATGATGCAGGCCTTGGAGAGGTTGAACTTACCAAGAAAATTCAGAAATCTTATTGCAAGTTTTTACACGGACCTTTCCTTCCAAGTGAAACATGAAAATTTTCTATCGCATGCTAAATCTCAAGATGCCGGCATAGGTCAGGGATGCCCACTCTCCCCATTTCTGTTTATACTCGTCATGACTGTTCTGTTTCACGACATTGGCGTAGAACACTACAGGGACTTTTCAGAATGTAGGCTTGACCAAATCAGTTTTAATGAAGTTCTGCACGCAGATGACACGCTCCTGATTTCCCGAAACACATTTGGCATGAACTTGTTGCTTCATGCCATAGAAGACGAATCAGCTTACTACAGACTAAAACTCAACCACGACAAATGTCACGTTTTGGCAATGAACGGTCACAACTGTATTCGTTTTAAAGATGGATCTCGCATGAAGCACGTAGAAGAAGCCGTTTACTTGGGCGGAATTTTGACCAAACATGTTAACATTGCGTCAGAAGTGTCCAACAGAATTGCATCAGCTATGGCGACTTGGAAGAGTTTGGATATTTTTTTGGAAAGAAACACAGTGCAGCACCAGAAACAAAATTCTTATTTATAATGCAGTCATTCAATCAAAACTTCTCTATGCCTTGGAAACAATTGAGATTCCAGTGGCTCTCCTTTCACGATTAGAATCTTTTCAGTTGAAAGGTTTGCGAAAGATTCTAAGCATGACTACGACCTACATCAATCGTGCAAACACAAGTGAGGAGGTTTTCAGAAGAGCAAACTTGCACATTGCAGCGAACCATCATGGAACCAAAATTGAACCAACTCAGGACATTTTAGCCCATCGTCGCATCACACTTGCAGCGAAAGTTTTGAGACAAGACAATGACAGCCCTATGAGAATGGTCAGTTTCAAAAACGATACCGCCGCACTCACCTGTTGAGGTATTGTTTCGACGGGTCGGCAGACCCAGGAAACAATGGACACAAAACACCTTGACTATGATATGGCGTAAAATTCGTGATGACCAAAGTGATTTCAACAACTCCAACGCACAACTTGCTCAAATACTGCAAGCAGCTATCAACAAAGAAATCTAACAACATTTCCTACCAGGCTGCATCCTGGACATCGTAACTAAGGCGAACTAATCTATAGTTCTACTTCAAGGAGTTCCTGTACCGAGGGGCAGCGATGCTGCGGGGAGCCTACGGGTATGGCACCTGCCTTTCTAAGTTAGTTTCACATCCGTTTTCACAAACCATACCTATGGCACGCAAGAAGAAAAAAAACTAAAATCAATGCAGGGGGTCGGGGAGTGCCAGAAAATTCAAGGTTGCAGTGGAGGGCAAAAAGTTCACGACCGGTTTTTGGAGATATCGATCAAAACGTCTACTTTTTGAATTAGCGTCCCGAAAAAGTAGAACACTAGGGGTCGAACAGAAAATTTTGATCTTTTGAAAACCTAGGTTAATATTTGTGGCATGCCAATTGTTCTATTATTTGGGCAGCTATGTTTCCATACCCGTGGGTTGAGTCGTGCGAGTTTGGCATGATATTTTTTGTGGATGTCAATCGTGATGGAACATTTTGTCCGGTCCAATTGAATGTTTCAGCATGAAACACTTATGCAACAAGGCACCGTTTTTTGTGCCAATACCTGATTCATTTAACATTTTCATCATCTATTGAGATTTGCAGGGTCGATGGACGTGTGTGCGTGTGTGCGTGTGCGTGTGTGCGTGGGTTTGTGTGTGTGTGTTTGTGTGTTGGAAATTGGAATTGATTGGTCTCGGGTGAAGCAACGTTTCATGTCTTTCGAATTATGCCTACGACGTTGTGAAGTATATAATCCTTACCGCATTCAAATTTTGTGGTTCACTTGGAAGATTGTGTACATGATTAGTTAATTTTCTTCGTCGAGGACTCAGCGGAAGGCCTTTTCTGCTACCACTGTGATGCCTGCAAGCTCTGCATGTATGCGGAGTACTCGAAATTGTTGACAGCAACTTAAGACTTCATCATTGGTCAGCATGAAAAAACATACATGAACTTTTACACTCGCATTTTACTGCAACTGCAAAGTGAGGCCTCCAGCAGTGATGGGCCATTGCCTCTGCGTGCATGCAGAGCAGGCTCTAGTACATTTTTCCCCGCTCACAAGGTATTTGGATCCACAGGGATTGTAATTCAGCTGAATGATCATCCTGTGTACCAACTGGCAAGTAAACATGTCCGATTCAGAGAGCGGCAGAAACAAATTGTTTGTGTTGGGTTTTCACTTTTGACCTTTGCCAGGCTGATCAACATCAGCAGGATGTGGAACCTTTCCCAGGTCGCCAAGGAGGCTGGATTTTGTGGAACTTGGTGGAATTTAGTGGAATTTAGAATAACTTAGAACCATTTGTATAGATTTGGTAGGAAGATGCACGATCCGACCATGCGACATGCTTTGTCAAGGGCTTGTGTCACAGTTTTCCTTCCACCAGCTGGTTCAAGTTTTCGAACAGAAATCTGTGCTCTAAATCAAGATGCGATAAATCACATTGTCAGATAGACATCAAATAGACATCAGATAGACGTGATTCTCTTTCCCAACATAGGTATCGGATGGTATCGGCGCATCACATGTCTAGAATTTGGACTCAAACAGGACAGTTTTAGGTCGCAGGACGTGGCTTTGCGCCTGTTTTACCATTCCCAAATTTCTCAAGAAATGCGGGGCAGGATTGAAGTGCATGTTTTCTCTGTTCAACTCTGCTGTAACTCACCTTCATTTTTGTTGTTTTTGGAAGAAACTCCCAGCTCATGTCGGCTTACCATGTCGATTCCCGGCAGTGATTTGGACTTTACTCGCCTGAGACTTAGCAGCTTCACATGAGATTTTAATACATTTGTTACAGGGAGTTATATGATTTTTTTTCTGTTTAGTTTGGTTGTTTGCCGACTTGTTTGGTTGTTTGGTTGTTTGGTTGTTTGGTTGTTTGGTTGGTTGGTTGGTTGGTTGTTTGTTTGGTTGTTTGGTTGTTTCTTTCTTTGTTTGTTTGTTTGTTTGGTTGGTTGGTTGGTTGCTTGGTTGGTTGGTTGGTTGGTTGGTTGTTTAATTGATGGTTTGGTTGCCTTTTTGTTTGTGTATCCACAAGCACTCCCAGGCTTCTTTCACGCGGCTATTGCACATCTAGCCTTCCGGCCAGACTGCAGCAGTCAAACGTGGCAATTTCAGCAGGACTTGCGAGATTCTGTTTGAGACTAAAGTCAGAAAGGTTGGTAGGATATGTTTGATATGTTGGAGTTTGAATTCAGCAGGGGAATTTCCGAAAGGCCGCAGCAAAGCCATGCCCAGGACCCGGCTGTGCAGGCAACATGGGCAGAGCTCCGGCTCCCAAAATCAAAGATGGACGAGGCGGGGGAAACCAAAATTCAAAAGTGTTGTCAGATTCTGTCAGTTTTGCACTGTGGTGTTGCCCGATCATTGGCCTGTGATGGAACCCATGTTGAATCCTCTGGAAACAGGCTATCCCCCTTGTACAGTTCGGAAGGGTGGTGTTGCAACATGTTACATGTTGCAACTTCCGAAGCTTGAGGTTTTGGCTGCACGCCCTGACCTTTTCGCACGTTCTGTGTCCAGCAAACCCATTATCAGGCTTCAGGCGCCAAGTGTTGTCACCTTCACACATCAACATCAGCGGAAATACGAACGATGTTTGTGTGTGTAGTGTGTTGGCAACATTTTGGTGAAAGTACCTGATACACATTTCAAAAATACATGTTGGGTTGCACGAGCACAAACTTGCGGAGGCACTTGGTCTTACATGCTTGCCGTACTTTCCTCAACGCATCAAATTTTGATGTTCTTGCTTGTTGTGTAAATAGCAACATCAAGTGATTCAAGAGACACAAGTGGTTCTGGAGATTTGTCAGTCTGTCAGCCTCAGCATGTCAGCGCGAACTGTGAGCTGTGTCCTGTGGTTTGCGATTACCAAGGCCAACTCCGATACCACCCTTGGGCACTGCTGCTCCTTCACCACTAGTGCCGGGCGTGCCGCAGAAGGTCCTGCGAGGGGCTGGTTTTGATTTTGGGCTGGTTTTCCATGGAATCCGTGGAATTGGATTCAGATTGGCAGGGCCTTGCTACGAAGTGGACAGGCATGCTGCGGTTTTCAATTCCGACACACAATGCCTTCTGATGTGTCTGAGCTTTTTAATTTCATTCCAGTGCCATTGCCCGAATCATGGAGTAACAGAAACGAAAGCGGAAAGGTACATGGGGAGGAAGCACTGGCTACAAGTCGGTCCAATTCTCAGAGAGCTTTGGCATCTTATTTTGAGCTTCCAATCCGACAAGAGGCCAAGCCGGACTGTCTGACTTCACAAATTATGCCTCGCAGGGGCCTGAATTGCCTCGACAACCTCTTTTCGGAGGAGAAGCCTTGCAAGGGGATGTTTTGGAGTGGAAGGCCGTATCATATGAGATGCAAGTCTTGCACTGAAAACGAGAAAAACCAGAGAACAATTTGTTTCAAATGTCTGATGTGAACCATGAAAACAGCCGAACTACAGTATACCAAACCAGACTTTTGCAGACGCCGGCAAATGCCTCCCAGGGAAAGTTTGGCTGGATCAAGCCTTTGCAGCCGATAGACCATCCCCTAGCGGTGGTTTGCTCAGAACCCAAACCATTCTGTACTGCAGACAGGGTTTAAGGCAACTAAGTCTATGTGATGATATGTTTGGCAACTAAGTCTCGGCACAATTCCAAGATCTATGTGCACATAAAGGCAGCTGGCGATTGTCTTGTGAAAGATAGTGCTTCAGTCAGGTTGTTCCTGTTCCTGCTTTTTCAAATCCTTTCCATGCATATTTGGCTTGATCGGCGATCATGAACTTTGTTTCAGGATTTGGCTGATGGATTGCAAGCATTGGCGCCCGGACAGCGGGTGGCCTTTCAGGCAAGAGTGGCTTCAAATTCTGTCAGGGGCGTTCATGGAAAATTTCCACAGTTTCCGCCAGGCCTACACTGACGATAGTGGCATCGGTGCTGAGGCTACGTGATACTATGTGGCTATGTATTCAGTGCGCTAGGTATCGCTAGGTATTCCTCAAACTACTTGCGCACCGGTGAGGCAGTGTACCTACGCGAAAGACCAGCTGAACCTGTTGCAGGGGATTCGTAGTGTGAGAATGAATGCAGTTGATGCTATAGTCGAACCAGACTTGGCTGTTTCTTCTGCAGAATCAAAGGTGTGTTGCTTTCGTGCAGCCTTTTGAAAGAAAGTGGCTTGTTCAATGCCATCAGTGTGTCTGTCCCTTTGTGTTTGAATGCATCACCATGAGCACAGCAAGTGCACTCACAGTCTCCTTCAAATGTGTCTAGTGAACCCCTGTGGCCACACATCTCGCTTCCAGGATCGTCATCGAAGAGTGGGGCAAAGCCTTCCAGCACCCGTGCTACGTGCTTCAACTGCACAAATTTCGATCGATCCAACTATTTACTGCTCAGGTTTCAGATTGATGATTGAAGATGATTAAAGACGATTCAAGTCTTCAAGTATATTAAATTCATATGAGTCAGCAGTCTTGAACAGGCCAAACAAGCCGGTGGGCACCTCTGAGGACTGTTTTCTTTTGCTGCCAGGCGGTTAGTAGTCGGGATATGGACAAACAATGACACACATTCAAAACAAAACTGTTTGATGAACAACTCACAGGAGCGAGAAGAGCATCCCACTGTGATTGTTGAGTAACTTGGCATTGATGGTGGCATGCGGTTGCCTGGACCAATGACTTTCATGCTTTTTCATTGACAAGGCAAATGAACCTAGAGAAGTTTCATTGTATGCGCCTTGACCCTCAAGAAATTGCCACACTGAGGCATTGTTGTTTCTGAGGGTACAGAGTTTGCCAAAGAACCGAATTCTCCAAGGGGCCGATGTGAATCTTTGAACCACGAGATCATTTCATTGGAAAGTTCACCAATGCGCTAGCATCAGGATAGTTGATTCCCCACCGCCTAAAATAGAAGACATGCAATCTGGGCCTCGTTCAACTTTTGCTATCCTTTGTTATCTAGTTTCCATGCGTTGGATCGCCTGGGGACTTGCAACCTTGCAAATTCGGCCATGTATCAAGCCATGTATGTTTGTTCTCAAAGTCTCACAGAGTCATCAGTGTTGGCTACCTTGACGAGAAGATATGAGAAGCACACCTTCCCTCAGGCATGGCATCAAGTACACTGGTCAATGGAAGGGCGGTCTAAGAGATGGCCATGGACTCCAGGACAGGCTGCTGGTCATCACGCCTGACATCTTGAGTCATGTGCGCGTCACTACATAAATTGCATATCTATGTGGGAAGACCGCCTCTTTTTGTCCTTCTATGTCCTTGCAAGAGCATCAACCGGGTCTTATGTGCCAACATGTTTAGGCATCTTCCTGCAAATCCTGTTGGGAAGTGTCAGGAGTGGCCAGATGGAGCCCAATTTGAAGGTGCTGGTGCTCAGCATTCTGCCCTGTCATGCCCTGTCAGCGCACTGTGCTTTCCAAGACTCTCGAGGTCAATGGCGGAATGGCCTTGCGGAAGGGTTCGGAAAGTTTGTCCATGCTGACGGCGGGGGATGCTGCTTTAAGCTTCCATTCGCCGCAATTTGGCCCGTAGAAATCTGGCAACATGGGATAGCAATGGATGGCAATTTGGTGAAAAAGCAAAAGTTTGCAGGCGACGTCTACGAAGGGCAGTGGAAAGGCGACAAAGCGAATGGTGAGGGTGCGAGCCTTCGGCTATCCACATGATATACTACGTGACAACAGCATACTACAGCCATCAACCTGTTGAGGCCCTGATGTTCAAGATGCAGAATGCATCAGTTTAGTGGAAACCAGAAAATAATAAAAAAACACAAACAAAAAACAAAAAATACACAAACCAAAAAACAAACCACAACAAAAATACAACATGAAAAACCAAAAACATGCGCCAGGGTGCTTTGTATTTGTTTTTTCGCTTTCTTTCTTGTTTCTTTTTTGTTATTTTTTTTCTCGGGAGACTCCGGAATCCCAGATCTGCATTTTTCCTTAGAAAAAAACAAAAACCAGGATGAAGACACAAAAAAGAAACGAAAAAGAAAAAAAGGAAAAAAAACAAATTGCGACAGAGTGCTTTGCATATTTGTGTCTTCAAGGTTTCCAATAAATGCAGTTTGGCAGAGACCCGCAAAGGCCGACAAAAATGGACAGATGCATTGCTGGAAGCAATCTGATTTCTCGATGTGCGCCATGTTGTTCCCACATATTGCGTTTATAGTTTTTCATTTGTTTTTTTGGATTGTTGTTTTTTTTTTCCCCACAATATTGTTTATTTTCAATTTTCCAATGAATGCATGCCTCTAGACTCTCTACTGTAGACGTCTTAATGTAATGCGAATTATGTGTTTTTGGTGCTATGGAACGCCACGGAGTACTGTAGGTGTGTACCATCATGCTGATGGTTCGAGGTCCGAGTGTTTGGCATGGGATTTTGAGTTGCATTGTGCGTTTGTAGAATCAGCATTCGAAACTCGCTTCTTCAGATTCTCACTGATGTTGCTCGGCCGTTCAGGTATGTTGGACAGTGGAGAGACGATCAAAAGGAAGGACAAGCCATAGAAGAATGGGTCTTTGCCCAAGCTGTGCATTTTCGCTCATGGCTGTCATAGCTGAGAGCATTCAAAAAGAAGAAATTCGACCATGGTTAAAACATGTTGCAACAATCATCAAGAGATCATTGCTTGGTTGCTGCAGGCTGATAACTCACGCTTTGAGGGTCAGTCGATGCCTAATCTTCCCAGTGAAATGGTCTTGCTATCACTATGTGCTTGCCGTGGTTCTTCTCTACTTGCACGAAAAGCAAGTTTTGAAGAGGCATTTTCAGTATCCTGTCTTAGTGAAATGTTTGAGGTACCGTGCTGGCAAGAAGCACGGGCATGGTACGTTTAGCTGGCCCGAAGGGTCTTCGTGCCCTACTTTTGATGGGTCGTTGCGCTTTGTCATTTGCCACCTTTGCGTTTTGATTCTGCATTCCACAGGTACGAAGGCGAATTTGAGAACAATGAGATTCATGGACAGGGGACGTGAGCCATCCATGACGGATGTAATTTATGTCCAACAGTGATAGTGCATGGATTGCATGGCGCTTAAATCCCGGCGAGGTACTTCTGGAACGATGGGCGGGTTTACAGAGGCCAATGGGCCAACAACAGGACAGAGTGATCAGAGTGATGCAAGGGCCACGATTTTTGCTTGCCCGGGGTACTCTATTTGGGCTGAAGACACTGGCAGGATGAGTGGGACAGGAACCTTTACTTGGAGGGACGGCAGGAAGTGCTCCCCTGCTGGATTTGTGGGTTCATACACCAAAACTGGGAATGGTTTCGTCAAATTATGGTTCTGGCAGCAAGAGTTGGTGCTTATCAGGTACGTTGGCAGCTACCAGCATGATAAAAAGGCCATGGCAATTGCATGTTGATATTGTGACATTTGATACTGTTGCACGCATATTTTGGAGCTGTTGACAGGATGGACATGGCGTTTTCACATGGCCAGATGGGCGAGAGTATGTTGGCGACTGGAAGGCTCGCTCACTGACTGATTTTCAATCGCCAGAGTTTGGGAAGTCTTGACCCAGGATGGCAAGCAGCATGGCATTGGCGTTTTTAGGACCGCGAAAGGGGATTTTCGCCGCGGTGAATGGAAGGCCTGGTGCTGTGCTGCCAAGGATTCCAAATGTGACGGTTTAGTTTGCTGAGGAAGGGAACCGAATCCGCTGGATATCAGAGGCCCTGATCCTGGAGTTGTGTGGAAGAGTGGGTTCGCGAAGTCTGTAGATCTGAAATCTTGTTCTCGCCTTATTTGAGGCATATCGAGAGGATGGCAAGCAACCAGGAGGTTCCGAGGAGCCTTTAATCTGACACCGCAATCCTTATTGGCAAATGTTGTTTGCAGCCAAGGAGGAGCTTTGTACGAAGGATTCCATAGGTGTTTTTCCAAAGCATTTGGTCTTTATTGTTCTTGACAACAACTGCTCATGTTGGTTTAGAGTCTAGTGCGAATAGCTCGTTGTCGGAAGGTCCAACCTTGCAAGGGAAGCTTAAGTTGATCTTGATTTTAGATGCGAGATTGTGACAGCTGAGCACTATGCTTGTTGCAATCAGACTTGAAAAGCGCAGGAAAAAGCGCCCAATGCGAGTGAGCAGAATCAAGTGAATCAAGTGAGTCAAGACAATACTACAGCACCCTAAGGGGCCAGAGCGCTCGAGCAATGTTGGTGGCTCTTGGGTGTTACTGCTACCTCTTGGTGTCCCAAGAATAGCTTTACTAGGCATTTGCAAGCATAAGTTTTTAGCATCGTGCAAGGCGAGACACAAAAGTACCAAGCAAACTTTGCTCGTTTACCCTGCCTTGTCCATTGAACCAGCCTGTGCGAAAAACTTGGCGGGCGCCCAAAGCACGCGCCTGTCGTTTGCACTGCATTAACGGCATTGCTGACACGAACATGATGTCAGCACCTTTTGGTCCCACTGGCACGGAAAACACCTACACCAGCTAGGACCAGCTAGTTTGTGGAATTTATAGATCTTCCCGTCCTCATTGAAGTTCTTCGAGGTCAAATCATTGGGAAGTTATCAAAGGTTCCAAGTCGATTGCCATTTTCAAAGAGATGGGAAGGTTCAGGCCAAGTGCAAGTTTACACTTGGCCAAAATGTATCTCCACAAAAAAATGGTGCGTGTCCAGACTGTTTCTGGAATATATTGGAATGAATAGATCATCGCATCACTGTGGTTTCTCATCAGCCTTGCAAGGTGTGCACTTCCGTTTCCAGTTTGCAAGTTCTGGCTGGCCAGGAGTTGAATTTCTTTATTGCATGGCAGTGCAGACGGCTAATTGAAACGACAGTCAGGTCAAACTCAAGCCCAAGAATCTCGAGCATGCATCAAAAGATATGAAAAACAATCTTTGTGGGTAGATTGGGACTCAGATTACTCGCATGACGCTGACCAGTTTTGAAATCAGGATTCTCAGGCAGAAAAGGGTTTCCAGGTCAGGTCCACTTTGCTTTGAGCAAGAATTTCATAGAATTTGTCCTATTGCAATGTCGCTTGAGCCTATGAGTCTTGTAGCAGAGAGCCTAGTTGAACCATGTTGAATCTAAAAGTGCACAACTTCTTCCTGTTTTTGCTTCTGACTGCTGGGGCTGGCAAGGTGCGCAATACTTTTATTGATGCTGTGCCAGTGCTCTTCTCAGAACTTGGTTTGGAAGCTCCGGATGATTTATCTATGACGAGACTAGGACCACAATGGGCAACTTGATGATGACAGTCCGCTGAACAGGCCTTCGTGATTTCTTCTCTTGTCAATTGCTATGCCTCTATAGCTTGAAACAGGAAATGAGCATATCTGACCTCCAGGACGCAGTCTGATCCAACTGGCGGCCGGGCCAAGCAAGTTCTCAAATTGGACAGGCTCGGTGATATAGCGATACTGTGTGCTGCTTCTCTTCATCTGTGGGTTGTATTGGATCTTCCGGAAGGATCTTACCCCGGGGCATCAAGGAGGCGACTGATGCATTGCTGTTGTCCACTTGCTGATGCATAGTTGGAAAATGTTGGAAACTTCAAAGTTTGTGAGGAGGAAGAAGAGCAAGTGATGATTTGTGAGGCAGTGGAGGCGAATCCTTTTGAACAAAATGAACAAATCTATCACTGTTTTGCTCAAGTTGGTGGGAGCCAAAGCTCAAAAACCCAGGTGCAACCTGAAGGCCAGTGCAGCAAAGAGGTTGAGGTAGAGGAAGAGGCATGGCATCATGGCATCGCAAGCATTGCACAGCACTGCACAGCAGCTTCGGCTCTCGTACCCTGGGCTTCCGTGGTCTTGGGATCAAGCTGAATGCAGCATAGCGCGCTTGTTGCAGCCAAGTTATTTCTACGCAGGAGGATGAACCGCTTGCTCGAACCAAGAGTGTATCTTCACCCGTTAAATGCATAGTTTCAATTCACCACAGGTGGCAAAGGTGGCAAAAAGCCAATGTTCAGCAGGCCGCGCCACTGCTACACATGAGGTTTATGCTGACTTGGGAAGAACATTGTCTCAGCTTTCAGCTGGGTCAGGCAGGGAAACCCAGCAGTGTCAAAGTCGAAATCCCGCTTCGTCAAATCTGCAAAATTGCAGCATGGAAGAGGCGAAACACTACAACGGCTGCTGACCGGTGGTGGAGAGGACATGCCATCTTAACAGACAGACTATTGGAATCTATTGGACTATCAACTATCGATGATATTGGTGTCCCTGGGTGTTGATCCACGCGTATTTCAATGCTTTGTTTTTTCCGAGTTCATTCCTGTTGTTCCCATTTTTCAGGATGAGACATTTGCCTCGGCCATGCCGCCTCCATATGGGCTTTTGCCTTACAACTGCAAGTTCTTTCAGCTGACTCCGCTGACATTTGAATCACCAATCCCTCTTGCTCTGGAGGTATCCTTTGGTGCCACCACTCCCTCCACATCTGATGCCATGGGCAATGTGCCCCAAGCTTTATTCTTCAAACACCTTCAAACATGTTTGCATCGCCAGCGAAGTAAGCACCAGCAAGAAGCAGCAAAGTCGAATGCGGAGGTATCCACCGCCCATGGGCTCGCCAGAGATGCGTCTCGTTTGAAAGACATCTGTGGCGAGTGATGACCACACAGGGATCAGTGGGCCCTGCGCTTCTGTCAGGTGGGCATCCATGATGAACATGAACAAAGATGGGCTGACTCGGGACAACAAGACTGGGGAGGTCCCATGCAAATTGGGAATGCATTGCATATTCAGAGATGGGTGACCCCACGGCAAGTGGATTCTCTTGCCCGGAAGTTCACATTTTGTTTTTGTTTGCTCGGACCTGTTGAAGGCCTCTGGGAACGTGTTGCATGGTGCTTGGTCATAGACGCAAAAGTGTCAAGCAAATTCGAACTTCTTGCCCCATGTCATGCACGCAGCAATCAATTCAAAGAGTTTGTTGTCACTGAACTTGGGAAAGCGAATCAATATCAAGGCCAAACGCTTCTGGTTTGGCTGGAACCAAGCATACTTTCCATCAGGACAATGCAGCTGTTGAAGTTGTGGACGGGTGAGCGAGACAGCCCAGTGAACACTGTATGATCTGTATGGTCAAGGAGACCAAAGGTATGGGCATGGTTCGTCCAGACTTCAGGCAATTTACTAAGGCCGGGAGATGTTTTTCCCCAACAGTAAAACTTTGCTATGTTTAGCCCAGATTAGCTCTGGTGCGATCCGGTGCAGCTTCAACACCAGGTTCCAGGCAAGGTTCCGGAGGGTTCCGGAGGGTTCCGGTGCAGGTGCTCGGTAAGGTTTCGGAAAGTTCGGGTGCAGATGAATTGTGAAGTTCCAGAGGGTTCCGATGTTTTTAATGGCATATAAGCATTCAAGTTTTTTGGGCAGAAGCACTTAAACGCAGTATATGATGCATTCAAAACTACTTGTAGATTTACTTTGCAGGAGGGGGGCAGGCCGTGGCAAAAAAGAAGTCGACGCATAAATGGTTGGACCAAGCACTTTGCAAACCGAAACAAAAAATTGAAGGAACGAAACGGCAACGTAAAGACAACAATCTTAACACACGCGGCTTGCAGACGATTGACAAATAGACGGCCGACGAAAGTTGAAGAGTCATCTCGAACCATTACGACATCGTGGGCTCAAAACAGCAGAGATATGGGTGACAGCGACTCAGCAAAAGATTAATAGGTAATACGATTGGTGTGGAATCAAAGTACGACTGTGCGCAATGCGCGATTTTTTTCATGACTAAATGGTGCTTTTGCTTAGTGCCCCGCTTTTCTCACACACTGACATTCAGATATGGATTGTAATGATTGTAAATGCAGATAATACGTGTGATCAATGTGCTTTGGATGGGCTACAGCACTTTAGAAAGAACAACCTCAGGACAAGCCAGCGTGAGAACCACTCAACACAACATGACCGACGAAACCTGCAGCGTCATACTTTACCATCACAACATTGCGGGCGAAAACTCCGGTAAACTGCACGGATGGCAGGCGCAGAGGGCAGAGATCCGACAATCAATTTGCTGAATGGCACCGACAGCACGCGCAGACACCAACATATTGAAAATCAACCTGGCTATATAACTGCCAGGAAGCAGGCGCAGAAGATATGACAAACGGTCTAGTAAACTACACGGATAGCAGGCGCAGAGATTAAGGATGCAACAATCATTCTGATAAACTGCACGGATGGTAGGCGCAGAGACCAGAGATAAGTACAGCTTGTCATGGGAATGTTTCGTATGTCCGTGTGCAACATCATAGTGAATGGTAGGTTTGCTTGTTGTCGCGTTTCTCTGTATTTCACAGACTGACATTCAGATACTGATCGTAATGACTGTGAATGCAGACAATACGTGTGAGATCAATGTCCTTTGGATGCGTTACAGCACTTTAGAAAGTCAGTTTCATCATGAAGTACGCGTGAGATCCCTTTATTACACAGTTTGAGGTGTTTAAGATGTTTGTTCCGTGTCTTTGAGATGTTTGAGAAGTTTGTTTTGTGTCGTTGACTTTGACCTGTTTGAGAAGTTTGGTCAGTGTCTTTGAGATGTAAGAAGTTTGTTTTGTGTTTTCGAGATGTCTTTTTGAGATTGAAAAACTTGAAGCGTCATATTGAAACATTACGACATTGTGGGCGAAAAGACCAGCAAGGACAAAGGCGGAAAAGACTGATCCGCAAGACGTGTCGGCAAACAGCAACAAGTGACAGCGCTGAATTTGACGCATAATCAAAAACGGTTCAAGTACGCACAGTGCAAACCAAAGCAAAAGTATGAAGGACAACGTTGCACGGAAAAGGGCACAATGCTAAGACGAACCAACCTGCAAACCACTAAAGCAAAACGACGACCGCAAAGCCTGAAGTGATATATCGAACCGTTACAACGTCGTGACTTTAAAGAAACACGGCGACAAAGGTGGCATGGACTCAGTGAAGTGGCAATAAATGCAAAACCTGACTCGCGATCTGGTATTGCATGGGTGGCAGGTGCAAAGACCAAGGGTCCAACCATCACTCTGGTAAACTGCACGGATGACAGGCGCAGAGATCAGGAATCTGACAATCAATCCGCTTCACTGCACCAGTAGCAGGCGCACACACCAACATTTTTAAAAGTAATTTGGTAAACTGTAGCGAGGGCGGGCGCAAAGACCAACAGTTTGAAAA